CACAGTGCAGTCAGGCAGGTAACGTTCTCCTGGCATTCGCCAAACCCAGACTCGTCCATCAGACTGACGAGATTCATCACTCCACAGAATACGTCTCCACTGCTCCAGAGTCCACTGGCAGCGCTTTACACCACACACCTGGCCCCCCATTCGGCATAATATCTGTCTGCACTGAATAATGTCTGACTTTCAGCATCACTGAAATTGGTATTTTATTCATCTCCTCAGCCCTTTTTTTCTACATCATTTATTGTAAAACTGGGCAAAAGCTTAAGATCAGAAGTCCAGCAAGTCATCTTTTGTAGATACTTCTGGAACTTTCACACCTCTGCCTCGTTTTGCATTTCAAGATGGTGAAATGAGTGTTGAACGAGAGTCACTGACCGACATCTATCACTGTAGCAGGTGTTATTGTTGTTGTTTCTTAAGCAGCTTTTCAAAAATCCACCCTTTACTGCCTCCTGTCATAATTCAACAGAGGTAATGCGAGTACCAGGGGTGTAACAAATTGTCCCAAGATTCATGGAACCCCCCAAGCATGGGCCCCACTCACTTTGTGTTGTATACAGTTCTACACAGAACCTTTTTGAAAATGGTTCTATATAGCACCTAAAACAGTTCTGCTATTCTTACAATGTAGAACTCTTTTTGGTGCTATACAGAACCATTTTTAAAAAGGTTCTATAACGAAACAGATACAACACATTCCCCATTAATCTGAAGAAACTGTCACCATGCAAAGAACCATTTAAGCATGCAAATGGCTCTTTGAGTGTTCATGGTTCTACATAGAACTACTGTATTTACTTAAAACCCCACGAAGAAACATATTTTTTAATGGTGCAACAAATATCTGATAATATTTGATGGATTTGGATAATTCAAATATTTAAAAAACAAAATACAAAGTCCTTTAAAGCTCTTTTAAGAAGCCACACACTTCTGTGTACTGTTTTTATATAAGTATAACAGGAAACAAAGTTTTGTTTATGACACTAAATGCTAGCTAGTCACCAGCAGCGCACAGTAGCAGTGTATCTAAGGAGAACAAGAGAACCTGCCAGCAGTTAATAACCTTTTCTCATTTCAGTCAAACGGTCTTTTGTCTGTCAGAGTCGATGGTTCTCAGCCACACTGATGATCAGAAGGATATTGAGTCTCTGTTCCAGTGTATCAGTTACTATCTGTTTAAGAGCTCTGAATCAAGGTGATAATCTTTAATCGCCCGGTGAAATCCACATAAGCTTCCTCCTGCTCCAAACGCTCCCAATTTGCATTTATTTCCGAGAATAAACGACACCCTGCAGGCTAACGAGCTGAAGAAGGAAAAACGTATTCAGACTTATTCCAACTCAGCTCAGTTTCTCTCGGGTTCTAGCATAAAGCGTTTTTTGCGCACTTTAAAAAGCGTGATCATAAAGAATGTGAAATATGGCCGCTGCCTGTTAAAAGTTAAACAGAAGATTTGTTCTCATTTTAAGACAGTTAAAAATACACTCTTCCCTCTGCTCTCCAGAGCTGCTCATTACTAACCCATTCAAACAGCCTCTTCAGAACTGCCAGATTAGGCAGGATCTCCAGGATTGTTGCTTTCTTTGAAAATAATAAACAAAAAAACAAACAAAAAGAAAAAAAATGAATAGAATATATGCAATCAAAACAAAAGCAAATTAACAAAGTGCATCAATTAATATAAATTATTGAAATTTGGCAACAGTAACAAAACAAGATCTTGTTTTACATCCAATCGTTCGAGTGAAACACTGAGCTTTTCTAACCCTTTTAGAATATTTAAATATTTGAGATAATATTCAATAAAATGCTGTACAGATGCAGCTCTACTTTTCCAGGAGATTACTGTCCATGCTAATTGACTACTCTACACTGTTAGAAATAAAGGTTCTGTTCAGGTACATTTTTAGTTCATCAAGGTACAAACACTGTAAATGTTCCCTCAAAGCTCCAACAGTGGTTTTAAGGTCTGATTGTGACCCTTAAATAAGTTTCTCCAGGTGAAAAGTTCGTATTTGTACCTTTTCATAACCGAATGTTTTAAAACAGAACAGTAAAATAAAAGCCTGGAGACGAGACGGGGTGTGTGGAGTCAGTACAGCTTAGAACATATCATTTCAGTGGGTTATGGTTCAGTTATGTTCCCTGACTAAAGGTGATGGAGCCTTGAGGGTTCCACCCCAGTGACAAGAGCCCCAGAGACAGTTTAGTACCTCTTTTTCTGAGAGTGTAAAGATGTGGTGACAAAGATTAGGTTGTAAATTGATTAAGTTTTCCTTTAAAACACCCAGTTTAATCAGCTAATTATAAAAAAACAGAAGAAACACTGATTGCTGAGCCAAAACACATTCAGCCAGAGCGCAAAATGTGCCTTAATGCAACTCAATTAAAAAAAATCAGTTTACTAAAACCTGCAGCTTATCAACTGCGTACAGCCCCGCCGCACTGGTGAGGTTTAGGGTTTAAAAGATGCAGTGAAAAAATGGATCTGTCAACAATCTTGAGACAAAACAGAAAATGAAATTCAGTGACGATGAGGCAACCGTGCTAATAAATGCATTTTCCCACCAAAACATTCTAGAGGGGTGAAATTGTACTCTAGCTAAGGCTGTAGTGTTTGTGAAACGATAATGAGCGCAGATGGCAGTTCCATCAGGCATGTTTTGCGCTGTCCTCTCACCCATGTATTCTCGAAAATTTCAGTGTTATTGTGATGGCAAACAGTCCTTCAGCATGTATTCGAGGCTCAGGCCTCGAATGTAAACCAATTGTGTCAGGCTCCAGTCCTTGCGGGCCACAACACTGGAGATCTCAGCACACTGTCTCATTAAACACACCTGATTCAGCTCATCAGCTAATTAGCAAGACCTTCATGAACTGAACTCAGATGCGTCAGATGAGGGTAAACTAATTTACACTTTGGTTTGGAAGGTCCCCAGTTTGACATGCCTGATCTAACTGTTGTGTCTGCTACCATTGTTAAAGCAAGCCTCTCAGTAACAATGTCTTTTGAGACATTAGCGCAAAGTGAATTTTAGACTGGTTTTAAAAGCTGGAGGAAAACTGATGCAGAACCGGCAGCTACGATTTGCTCAAACTAAAGCATGAGGAAGAGAAGAATTTTGTGTTTCACCATGCTCACAGGCTTGTGCCCTGGTTTCGTACATATCATGTGGGCAGAATGTGTCCAGTTTGTGCCTGAAACATGTTTGAGGCTTACTTTTGACATGTGTTTGAATTACCGTCAAAAGGGGTCCTGCAAGGTTCAATCCTTGGCCCGGTTTTATTCAGTATATACATTATTGATATTTCCACCTCTGCCTCACACTGCGAAGTGCACCTTTATTCAGATGACACTATTCTATACTGTTCTGCTGACTCTGCTCATGCAGCAGTAGAAAAACTCCAGAGCTCCTTTGATGTCTCACAGCCAGTTCTTTATAAGCACAAGTTTGTTTTAAATGCAAAAGAAACTATCAAAGGATCTAGCACTGAAACAGCCAGTGAAAATAAGCAGCCCAGCATGTGGCTGCACTATAAATTTACTTTTAAACGTCATATCAGTAAGCTAAGTTCAGGCAAAACTCAGATTCCTATGATGTAGAGATGCATGTATACACATGCATCTGCCAGTAGCATCAAATCCCTAGATCCAGGCTATCACACTGCTCACTACCACTCATCATCTGAAATAACAAAGCAAAAGCCTAAACACCTTAGCAACCACCTGGGATACCATCCCAATGGCCTAGAAATACCTGAGCACCCACAAAGGATAATATAACAATGGCTACACCTTAGTAACCCCTGGGATACCATAGCAACAGCCTAGCAACACCTTAACAGCCATCTGGGATACCATTCTTTTGGCCTAGCAAGTCCTGAGCACCCATAAGAAGGACAATATAGCAACAGGTACACCTTAGTAACGCCCTGGGATACCATAGCAACGTCCTAGCAACAACTAAGCAGCCATCTGGGATTCCATAGCAACCATTTTTTAAGCCAACATAACATTTGTTCATGATCTTTTCCCTTCTAGTTATCCTACACTCTCAAAAAGATGGTTCTTCAAGGGTTCTTTAGTAAAGAAAATGGTTCGATATAGAACCATGAACAACCTTTACATGAGTAAAGAGTTCTTTGCATGGTCAAAGTGTTCTTTACATTGATGGAGAATGTGCTTTAGATGGTTCTACATACAAACTTTATGAAAAGGGTTCTATAAAGCACCAAAAAAGGGTTCTTCTACTGTTGTTTTTAAGAAGCTTGCAACAATAGAAGAACCCGTTTGGGTGTTATATAGATCCCTTTTCAAAAAATCTGAAGAACCATTTCATCATGCAACGAACCCTTTAATCATGCCAAGGATTCTTTTAAGTGTTCATGGTTTTTATAGAACCATTTTCCTTACTAAAGAACCCTTGAAGAAGAGTGTAGTTGGTTTTCAGCTTTAATAATTTTGTTTTCTATTATAGATTTTTTATTATTATTTTATTTGTTATTTATATCTATGTATTTTTCTATGTATTTTCTCCTAATTTGTTATATTTTGCTTTTACTTTTCAATCCTTGTTCTTTATTATATTTGTACATGCTCATTTACACTGTGAATGTGAATTGGAGTCATTCTCAATGTGTTTTCTGAGTGGAAAATAAAGGTGATTGATTAAAACTGGTGCCAGTGGCTCATTACATCAGCCCCATAGAATGGAAGTCAATTGACAGGTGCTGTTAGACGACTCCTTTAAACCAGAGAAAATACCAAACAAGCATGTCGGGACGCTTTTGTGTGCGGGACCACTGTGGCGATGCCCTAATTCCTTCTACTGACTGTACCAGGTGACCTGATGACAGATCAGTCAAACGGACATAAACTCTGATTCCATCTACTCTGAATCTGCGTCTAGCTCACGTGTCAGTGGTCAGAGCTCTCGCGCAGATTGGAGCAGCTCGTTTCGGGCCTCAGCCGGGGGGAGTTCTCTGACCTTGCCAGTGGTGCTTGTAGTCGCAGGTGCGGGACAGGGCGATCATCATGGCGCTGTAGAGGGGCAGGATCATGGCGCAGAGGCGCCAGCTGCGCCCGCGCCCGCTGTCCGTGAAGCACTGCAGCTTGCCCGCCAAGTAGAAAGAGGTGAAGCCCAGGCCGGAGAAAGCAACTGTGGCGAGGAGAGGGAGAGGGAGAGAGAGAGAGAGAGAGAGAAGAGAGAGAGAAAGAGAAAGAGAGAGAGAGAGAGAGAGAGAGAGAGAGAGTGAAAAGAATGTAAAGATTCAAAAGAACTACTTCAGGGACAGAAGAATTTCAGATGGCTGCATATTTGAAACAAACGCTCTGATTTCAGAACAAAGTGGTGACCCTGCTTTTAATGCACTGTAAACCCAAAAGACATCAAAATCCAATTCACAGCCTGAGCTCAAGATGCAGTAAAACAAAAGACACCGGCTTTGAAGCCGTAATTGCTTCATGTAGCTGTAATTGTCCTTGAATCTGAAGTATATTCAATATGTTTCTTACTAAAAAATGATGTTCTACTAGAATCTTCATCCAGTTGGAAACGAATGCAGTTGTTTTCAAAGGGCTCTTTGAGTGTTCACCTTTCTATATAGAACATTTTTTTTATTAAAGAACCTCTGAAGCACCATCTTTTTTTTAAGTGTAGTTGGTTTTATCTTGTCACTTTTTCTTTCTCTATTATAGATTTTGTAGTATTATTTTATTTCATTTCATTTTTACTTTTCAATCATTGTTCTTTATATTTTTACATGCTCATACACAAAGCTGCAATTGCTTCGTGTAGCTGTAATTGTTCTTGAATCTCAAATATATTCAATATATTGTTTCTTACCAAAAATGGAGATTCAGTTAGAATCTTCATCCAGTTGCAGCTGTTTTCACAATAATGGAATATTTCTCTGTGTAGGTTTGTCTATGTACTCTGCTAGACACGCATATATATGGTATATATTAGGTTATATTATATATGTTTTATTTTGTGTTTTTCATATCAGCTGTTTCAGGGTGTCTTTTAACATCTGGCCAGGGACAAAAGCTGAAAATTAGCCTTTTGGCCTGAGTTGGGCTCATGTACATTTCTGTTGATACTGTTTCTTAATAGTTACTTATTTACTATTTGTAAAAAGTGCCTATCATCTCAGTGGTAATACAGTAGAATCACAAATTTCAGCTTTGTCCCTTGAAACCTGCCCCCAGACTGGTTGCTGAGCATGCATGTCCATGTTGGGTCATAGTAAATGGGATCAGCATGTGGAATTGAAGCTTTCTGTGAGCTACTGTGTTTCCTATCACTGTATAAAAGAAGCCCCATGCTGCCTTTATTGTTGGACAAAATTTCAGCGTGCGCATGCAATTCATATCACTATGTAAACTCTTATTATTGATTTGATTCAGAGTAACAATAAAAAGGTGAATAAAGTGTCAATTTTGTCATTGACCAAAAAAATAACAAACAAAAAAACCAAAAGCAAAGCATCAGCTGCTCTTTACAATCTGATCGTAATCAGATTTCTGCAGTTATCTGATTTTTCAAATGGTTATGTAAACAGCACACTCCCAACTAGTAATCCCATTAAGAAATCCAATAAAGGGAGCTGATTTTAGCTCAATCAGATTTGTCAGAACATTTAAACTCTTATTTCTCTCAGATTTCAGGTTTTTCTTTTTTAAAAGCTGCATGAAGTTTGAGTTTTACGTTACGTTTACGTCACGTCTTCTTCTGTGAGTTTACTGGCTGGTAGCAAAGCAGAAATCTGATTACTCTCTGACTCATGTAGACCTGGAGTTTCCCATTATCTGATTACTGAGAAAATCTGATTTTCTGCAGTTATCGGATTATTAAGTGCATGTAAACACATTCAGTGTGTGGAAATTTCATGCTTAATCTCTTTAACTTAAATTAAAGGTAAAGAAATCTTTTGCAATCTCCTGTAAAATCACCATTTTGGAGATTTGGAGACCTTTTTTTGGACAGTGAAGATATTTTTTTTGTTAACTGAAAGTGGTAGTTTGTACACTCTCCAAATAAAGGTACTAAACTGTTACTGGGGTGGTACCCTCAAGGCTCCATCTCAGTACCTTTAGTCAGGGAACATAACTGAACCATAATCCACTGAAATGATATGTTCTAAGCTGTACTGACTCCACACACCCCGTCTCGTCTCCAGGCTTTTATTTTACTGTTCTGTTTAAAACATTCGGTTATGAAAAGGTACAAATACGAACTTTTCACCTGGAGAAACTTATTTAAGGTTCACAATCAGACCTTAAAACCACTGTTGGAGCTTTGAGGGAACATTTACACTGTTTGTACCTTGATGAAGGAAATGTACCTGAACAGAACCTTTATTTCTAACAGTGTTACACCATTAAATAGCGTATTTGTGGCGAAATGTTCTTTGCATGTCCATATAAACTGACCACAGTATCGATAAATCACGTTATCACAGATGAAGTGCGGCCTAAAAGGCCCAAACAGATGCTTTCTTGGCTCGAGACTCAAGGAATAAGGACTATTATGGTGTCATGGAGATCCATGGCGCTGTGACCTCGGAACAAAGGCATCTCATCTCCGTAAAGCAACAAATGGAGCTGAACAGTTCCTCACAGCACGTGATCTCAGTAATTCCTCACTTCACAGCAGTCGCTGATGTGCCGTTCTCCCTGGAGAGTCCAAGGCGATGGACAGATTTCCCAGGGTTCTTGCTTTTCCCACAGCCTGTTGCCCTGGAAACCCGAGGCAGCGCAGACGAGCTTGTTCTTGCACTCCTGACCGCAAACCCGCACATTAGCCATGCCTTTTGATGAGCTTCAGTGGCTGCCTCGTGCTGGAAAGGTGCTCCCATGGTGTGGTGCTCTAGTGTGCGGTAACTCTTTTAGCCACTGTGCTCTCTGGAGATGGAACCGGTCTCAGAATTCCTTTCTTTGACTTATTTAGTGTTCATTTAATAGGGATAGATAAACGAGCATAGCAGATTACACAGATATCAAAACATCTATAGTGATATGCTAATTTGCAGTGTCTGTCCTTAGAATGGGCTTTTATACATGCATGAGACCTGAGACCAGGGTTGCCAGATTGCAGCTGCATCAAAATCAGACAGCTTTTTTTTGAGGGGGGTGGTTCTAACGTACTATTTGTTCTGCCACTGTATAAACACAAATAAAAACCATGAGAAAACAACCGGTTATTCGTTTACTCTGTCCTCTGTAGGCTGACCAGTGAAGACCATAAGATTAAGATGCATATTTTATTGCTTTTTGAAACAATCTGTGATTGAAAAATAATGAGTTTATCTCACACCCTGCCATTACGCAGCCTAACATGTGCCTACACACAGACTGTGTCTCAATCCAAACGTTACTGTACAAAACAGCATGTTCAAAATAGCCACTACACCATTGATGGTGCCTAATTTGACTAATTCAACATGCTATTTAGTGCTGTATACATGGTTTAGGCACAGCTGCATAACACACCTGCCCCTCAACGAGAGAGAGAGAGTGTGAGAGAGAGAGGATTTCACCTACTTCAACCACATTTAGAGCGCGGGACTGGACATTTTAACATTTGGTTGAGAGAACCGACCAGACGCCGGACAGCTGAGCCCAAACCCGCACAAAACTGGACAACTGGGGATCCTACCTGAGACAAAGCATTAAACTGGACTCTTGAACCCATAGTTAATTTTAAACATCAGGTACAGGGATGTCCGAGTACTCAAGTACTCAGTTAACCATTCAAGGTGTCAATACTCGAATACTGAAATCACTATTTGTTTCAGCTCAGGAAGACAGAGAAAACACAGACTAGCAATTCAGTAAAACACCACTTATGTTTTAGCAAAACTGTAAAATGTTATGGATTTGCTTATATTTGCTCGGCTTTACTGTTTACTAGGCTAACTACTGTCGTAAGTCCAGTAACAGTGGAAATAAATGTCTCTGACATCAACAATTAACATCTTATAGTAGCTGATTAAAAAAAACAATTAATCATTTTAATTATGTGGCGGCACAGCAAGAATGGCCTGCGATGGACTGGTGACATGTCCAGGGTGTATCCTGCCTTCCGCCCAATGACAGCTGGGATAGGCTCCAGCACCTCACCGTGACCCGGATGGATGGATTGATTAATGGATGTATGGATGGTTGGATGGACAGACTGATGGACTGATGGACGGATGGACTAATGGATGGATGGACTGATGGACGGATGGATGGATGGATAGATTAATGGATGTATGGATGGTTGGATGGACAGACTGATGGATGGATGGACGGATGTATGGACGGATGTATGGACGGATGGATGGACGGACTGATGGATGGAAGGATGGATGGATGGATGGATTTTAATTATACTGCAGTTTAAACTTTAAGTTCACACAGTAACCCAACCCAGTCACAACGTGTACTGAGTGTAAGAGTCTTAAGGTGCATCGTTGATGGAGTTTTGCTATAGCAGCTAAATCTGGCGTGATAGTTATTGTAAACAAACATTTACATTATTTAGTTGAACAATGGAGCTCAATTATATGTTGTAGCTGTACTTTAAATAATGGACCAATAATAGGGAAAAAGTAAGCATTTTCCAGCAAATAAAATATTTTTTGTGCATTCTGTTTTTTTCTTTACTTTATATTCATTGGAAATGTGTTTTTAAGAGTAAAGTAACTGCAAACTGCATGTTTTTATGCTTTGTCTCAGGACTCAGTGGTGTGTTTAATTAAAATAAAATCTAATTAAGTCTGTCAGGCATTAATACCTAAAGAGGTAATATCTAATCATCTTGATGAGACTGAAAACTAGATCAAAGCTGTCATGTAGGGGGGCGAACAGGCAGGATGCACAAGTCCATGTTTTTTTATTGAAATCCACAGCAAAACACTAAATACTAAAACAGAAAGAAAACAAAAGACTATGAGGCAGCAAGTAAACTAATACACAACAATGAAAACACAAAACAGGGCCTGTGAAATCAGAACACAGAGCAAACACAAGACAAACCACCAGGGGTTTAAATACAAAGGGACCAAACAAGAAACACCTGAGACTAATGAGAGGGCGGAGCTACAGAAAACACACAGGTGAGACAGATAACAAGAAGGCAGGACAGGGGAGGAGTCAGGAACACAAACAAAG